ATCTTCAAAATTATTATATATTTTTTGTATTGTTTATTATCGGAGATCTGCCAGCGTTTGAGTGCATGTGCTCTGACCGTCAGCACTGGTTATGTCTATCGAGTGCTCTGTTGTATAGCTTTTCATACAACAAGAAAATAACTTCAAAACTTCAATTGAAGTGATTTTTTCTCTGACACTCAATATGTGTTGGGATTGTGAGCCAACTATGCACTCAATTGCTTACATATTTCTGTTAATTTATTTGTAATAAAAAACACAAACTTTTATTTCGATGTAATAATAAATATCAGCAAAAAAATCTATTCAAAAGAAAGTGTATTTCATTTTTGCTTTGTTTTTATGATAAAATCTTTATATTATAAAATGGTTGTGTTTTTGTTGGGAATATTAGAAATTACAATCTCATAATTAATGCGAAAAACTTTTAAATTAGGGAAAATACAAGCATTTCTCACAACAGCCCATATTTAACACATTTACTGACAAATTGCCATTAATTGTGTGTTAAATAAACATATATTACATAATAAAGTGACCTATGTCCTAATTGTACAAATCACTTATTAATGCTAATTTCATCTAAAAATTTAAATAAATAACTAAATATTTAAATTTAGTTTATATTTTAATGGATTACCGAATAGTATATGAATAGTATATGAATAGTATATGAATAGTATAGTTGTGATACAAAACGACAATTATATAAAGAAATGTATGAATGTGTAAAGGGATGCGGATCTGAATTGAAGATTACATTGTTTTATGTGTTTTACAATACTGTTTATTCATTGAAATATACAAATGGTTTCTCAAGAGTTACCACAAAATGTGTGGGATTTTGGTCTTAGGATGGGTTTGAGAGACAAGAAGGGGATTCACTGGAACCTGAAGTTTCCGCACTATTCCTTCACTAAACACTATTTGGCAAAAGATTTTCTTTTTTATTTGACATTAAAAATAAATATATTTTGTTTTATTTACAAACATATAGAAAGACACCCTTAATATAAAATACAAATTATTTAAAACTAATTCTCTCCCAAAGGGTTTATTAAACGCTTAAATATTCGCTTGCATTCACTTGTGATAAATGAAAACTTACTATTTATTCATTGATTGCAAAACATTGAAAAGTTCTATTGATATGGAAATTATTTGACGAAAAAAACTTGATATTTTGTTATTATAGGAACTGAAATACTGCAGTATATTATTAAATCAATTAATATTGTGGAAAAAATCAATTCATGGCTATTATTCAAATAAAACATTTATCAATGTATTTTTTAAACCCAATTTTGTGTCCATCAATAACAGTACTGAAAGTAGAAAATTTTAATGTAAGTATTGAATCAAATAAATTTATTTGATTCAAGTCTGGGCACAAAAATACTAACTCTAAAGTTGCGTCAATGTTTGGCATCAAATAGTTTACGCCTCTCTCTCTCTCTCTCTCTCTCTCTCCGATAGTAAAACTCATCCCATTTTGCATAAAATTCCCACAAATCACACATAAAAAACACTAAAATTCATTTATAAAACATCGAGTTTTATTTAAATAAAATTTTCATTTTTATTATTATATAATGAGACTATTTATATGAATTTTTTCTTAAAATTTAATTTCAATAATAAATTATTATTTCTTTTAAAAAATTATATAAAGAAAATTGTAATCAAATAATTGGCACTAAAATTAAATTAAAAATTAAATTAAGTGTAATTTACTTCGTAATGAATAATATAATTAGTTTTTAATAGCAATAAAATTATAATAGATTTTAATTAAATAATTGATTTGTAAAAATTAAAAACTAAGAAAAAATAGAAACGATTTTTATATTAAAGATATAGTGTTTGGTTTGTGGGGAAAGGGATGGAGGGATGGGAGGGAAGGGTATGGTATGGGTTAAGAAGAGGCTCGAAGGGCGCAGAGATGCTTCTCTCCCATTAGGATCCTATCCTTCACTTCTCGGATGTTTACAATTAATTTTGATTTTAATTTTATAAATTCTAGAAATTCATTGAGATTTTCATAATTGTCTTTAAAATATTTTTTGATAATTTTCTTTTCAATGGATTGGTTCCTGTCATCAATGCATACGCGTAGCTGAAGAGCCTCTTCTAACTGATCCAATAGTTTCTGTCGTTTGCAAACTAATGACTGGATCTCATCAAACAAATTATTGGATGAAAAGGCGTTTTGTTTGCTTTGTTTGTCTCTAATCTGTTGTAAATCATTTTGAGTGAATGTCTGTGTCTGTAGTGTTGACTCGAAAGCCATTGAGTTCTCCATTGAGTTATGTTTGCATTGGCTTTCATTTGCTAAACATTTTTGACGACTCCTTTCATGGATTTGTGTTTCGATGAATTGAAGCCGAGAGCTAATGGATAGCAAAAGTCGAGTCACTTTCTCGATCTCTTCGCAATGCAAATTGATTTTCTCTGATTCCTGGTCTGTAATGCCCAGTGATTTCAGTTTTGTCCTCACGTGTTGTCCTAATATCTCATTAGAGTCCACGTCTTGTGTTAATGCCATCTCTTCACTGCGAAGAACATCCAATTTTCTGCTCAGTCTAGAGATTATATCCGATTTATTGGTCAATAACTCTTCATTAGTTGGCGCGACACCGGTTTCGCCAATGAAAGCATTGGCCGCCACTATAGGCGATGATATAAAGCTGCTGTCGCACTCATAAAACCCTGTTTTCACACATTTCTCATTCGGCCATAGCTTAGAGTAAGCCCAGGGAACCACTGAATCCGGTTCAACCGATTCTATCGATTTATTGGTTCCGCTCTGTTGTTGTTGTTCTTGTAATTCACGAGTAGCTGTCGTCTGATTTATTGGCACCGAAACAGAGTTCTCATACATGGGTTCGCATGTTTCCAGTGACGGCTTTTTCTCATGTGTTGTCACATCTTTAGCCGACGCACCGCTGTGTCGACGCAACGGCTCACTTGTTTGGGAGACCATCTCTGACTTGTGCCACACGTCTGCGGATCTTTGGGCCGGAAGTGACTCATCTTTTGGCGAAGATGTCGAGCGTTGATAGGATTTGCTGTTCGGCGACACATAAGGATCACAGATATCAATGTTATGCGATTGGGAATGGCTTAGAGTTGTGGCACTTTTGGGTTCGCACTCGTGTGCGGTCGGCGGCGGCGGTAACGGGAACTCGCCGTCAAACTCAATATCGGCCACCGTTTGCTGCGGTGGCGGCGGAAGCGGTGGCGACGGCAGTGGCGGTGTTTGTGTGGACATGGAGTGAGCGGTACCACTGTTTTCATAGATGTTTTCGTGAACAACGAGTTGTACTTTGCGTGAAGAGATCTATTGGTTTTACGTATAAATTAGTTTATTAACTACAATGACTCGGTTTTTGGTTTTGTTTGGCAATTAATTTATCATTTTATTCATTGATTGCTATATATATTTGATGCAAATATTTTCAAAAAATAAATAAAACTAAAGACCAAAAGGAATTTAAATACAGGAAAAAGCTATCTGTGAGATAAGGTAGCGCTGGGATCAGGAATGTAATGGTTGTGTTGTGTGGGAGTCATAAATCAGTCATAAATTTAAACGTAAACTCCGATAGAGAGGAAAATTCATTTTCAAGTCTGCGAGGAATATAAAAAGCACTAAAAAAGAGGTTTTGATTCTCACCTGAGGGCGAATGGGAACTGGAATTATGTCTGAATTTTTATGTTCACTTGTGTTATACCAAATCCAATAGAAAAACCAGCCAAAGGTAAAGGCAATTATGAAATACGGAATCATTTCATACCAAACATACAGTATATATAAAGTTAAGCACAGATTGAGTTATTATTTAAGAGCGAAAAAGGCGTCAAAAGTGAATAGAGTTTGGAAGAAGATATCACTCAACAAAAAAGTGAACAAACTTTTAAAGAATACAAATTTTCGGTTAGCTTTCAAAATGTGTTAAAACAAGCGATGAAAGTCTTCTTCTGTCTCAACATTAAACGAGATGCAGAGATAAGCAACGAATTAGTCGACAAAAATAGTCTTTTAATGGCAATCAATGATGAGAGTGAGAGAGCAAAGAGAGAATGAGAGATAGAAACCAGGAATGACAGAAGCAAAGCATCGATATATCCAATAGGATCTGATAGAAAGCATCTTAAATGTGAATTCAGATAGAAGTCGAGAGCATAGACTCATATAATAAGTAGACTTCTATTGTGCTCTCGTTTGCGAAAACTTCTTATCTCTACTCAACTCTATTCGCAATGAATGGTTTGGTTTATGCAGTGATGGAGAGACTGAGAGACAGTAGAGCACCCGTAGATACACAGGCGCACAAATGCAACCCATCTATCAATCTGTAAATTAATGTTATCCTATGGGATACTTTCCGGACCTGTCGTCCTCTCATCATAATATTGATAATATTGGTCTCAATCTAATTCCCATACTTCAAAGGCATTACTATTTCTGGCAAAACCTTTTCAATGTTTTTGCTGCGGCTATACATCCAACACATCCCAGCCTTCAGTCAAATACAAGCATCAAAAGCAAGAAAAGCACAAAAAACTAGTCAAACATTTTTTATGTCATTCGCTTTCAGTTTCATTATATGGTTGCAAATGTCTCACAACTACTGGTTTTGATTGAATTTTGTGTTGAAAAGCCTAATATTAAACCGCTTTTGAGAATCTAGTCTTAAAATCAATCCGAATTACATTATTGTCTAAAACCGTACAGAAGTTGTGTTGGAAGAGATTGAAGACTACTAATGGGCTCTTATCAGCGAAACTACAAAAATACATGTTATAAAAGCCAACTAAAAGTATCGGAAATCAATGATTCTCTCGTTTTCAGTGTTATGTGTTGTTATAACTCTATTCTCTATAGTGTTGAATATATGAGAAATAATGACAATAATGCCTCTCAAACGACGACTAATGTTACAGCAATTCTGACAAAAACTAATTCAATGAAAAACTCGATAATTGCACGAAAGGACAGACCAATACATTAAACAATCACTACTACTGTGTGTGACATTTAAGCATTCACTTAGGCTCACAACTAAGCCATTAGAAACCTGTAGATCATATCAAACACTAATTTTCATTTCAAATCATACACTTAATCATAGGTTTGGTCCAAAACACAGTCCAATCAACTACTGGACCGACACATACACATTGTTTTCAGTACTCATTTGCATCAAATATAATAATGATAATCAAGAAATAAATTAACAAATCTCTCATCCATTTCCATACCTGACTGTTATCCTCGACAGCGGATGCAGTGAGCGATGAATTACTGCTAACAACCGAACCGTTATTAATATTATTCAATTTATTGCTAATCTCTTGCTTCTCCTTTTGCTTCTGCTTTAAATAAAACTGATAGAGAGCTCGCTTTTGAATGGCTTTGATCTCTGGATCAGACGCTCTGTGAGACTTCGATGTCTCGACAGTGCGAGAAGTGGACACAATAGGAGCCATTGTCGTCGACCGACGTATGGGAGAGTCCTTGTCGTGAAAGTCACCCAAATTGAGCTTTGGTGGCGGCGGAGGAGGAACTTCGGACTTAAGGCTATGAGATGTATTAGAGGGCGAACCGGAGCCCGACTTTTCCACGTATAGCACACTCGCGGACTCCCTCTTCGGTTGGACTACTTTAGAGCTTTTGGCGATTTGTGACGAACTGCCAGTCGATGCGATACTATTTCGGCTGTTATTATACGAAGCGGTGGTTGTGTTTGTGGCCGTTGTGCTCAATGAGGACAAAGAGGGCGAGTGTGTGATCACTGATGAAGAGGCAGTGAAATAGTCGGATGTAGTGACCAGTGATGTAACGCCGGAAGTGACCGATTGGTCGCAAGACCACGACTCTTGCATTTGAGAAGACTTGTCGTTGAACTCAGTTTCGGGAAGCAATGGATAGGTTTGACTGAATTGCTTCAAATCGGAGCTCTCGTCGAATTTAGATCTAAGATTAATTAGACTTTTAGAGCACCCGATATGACTGACACCACGGCTTTCCGAATAGCTCTTCATATAGAAGGGAGAGTTATTATTCTTATAGTAATGACAATCTTTGCCCGAAGAGTCGTCCCTTAGCTTGTTTTGGGTCTCATTGACCGGTAATTCACACTTTAATTTACGATTCGACGACAAACTAGAGTCCCGTACGGGAGGTGTGGGCGGAGGCGAGTCGTCCGTATCGTATCGATCGGTGCCATACGTTGTCATCATATTTCTGTCTCGCATTTTCCAGAACTGAGAACCGTTTGATTCGTTATTCTTGGAGAAAACGCGTTCATTATATTTAGTGACGATTGAGTTATCGGCAAAACTGGGACCACAGGACTTGCGGTTAGACTTGAGTACGGGTGCGAAATCCAGACCCGATTTGGACGCCAGTAGGCTATAGACCGACGATGGCGTCGGATTGTTTCGATTATGAGATCTCTTTTTCACTATATTATCATCAGAATCGCGATCCAGATTTCCCGGCACTGACTTCGCAGGCAGTACTGACTTTGCAGTGTTGGCCGTCGGCTCCGGATAGGGATGTGCAGAACCAGACAAACTCGACCGACGGCTCCCACTAATGTGCACCTGAAGCGCAAGATTTGAAGTCGATTTGGCGGCCGACCACTGATCACAATAATGATATGCACTGTATTTGAGAGCAAAATGAAAAAATATGTTAAATATTAATGAAAAAACAAAACGAAAGACTAATTAATCAAAAATGTTTGCAAATACGATGACAGGAAAGAAGACAAACCTTTTGGTAGGAATGGCAGCAGTTCTGGGACTGAGACCCCCATTAGAGATGGAGGAGGTGTTGGAATCGGAACGCGAGTGGAAATAACTGTTTGATACTGTGTTGGCATTGTTTGCATTGGCATTGATTGGCCCCCAATTTGGTATCGAAGCGGAGGCCGACTCATACCCACTGTCTTTAGTGAGTTTCCGATTATTATTGTTAACAACATTGTTATTATCACTTAAATTGCTGCCATTATTTACGTATAAGTTATTACAATTGGCCGATGAGTTGCGGCGATTTTGGTGCCGCTGCTGAGCGTTGGTCAGCGCTGTGGATATGTCGCGCATATTCTCGTAAATCCTGTCCACTTCTATCTCAATCTCATTACCGTTCGGTGCAATCCATGACAAGTGCTGTGTCGACGAGTGCCTTAAATTCACATCTGAATCGTGAAAGTATTGCTGTTTGTAGTACTTCTGGATCCGGTTCTGTATGGACTCTCTGGACTCTCTCGCGTCAAATGGCTGTTGGCTTTGTTGGTAATTGAATGCGAAGTCTTTGTCAGTTTTGTGCCATTCGGGGGAGTCTTGCGATAAGCCTTTGGGTCCGGCAATGGTGTTGGCAGTGGTTGTGATGGCATGACTCTCATCCCTCTCTTCACTCCTCACTCGACCTGATTTGTGAGTCTCTGATTCATAGGCACTAATGTTGGGCGCATTGGAAGCGTTGCAGGCATTGGACGCCAAACTTGATTTTAGATGCCTTCGAGTACTGCTATTATTCGAGTCTAAAATATCAATACATAGTAATAATAGTATTAATAATTATATTATAAGAATTATATTCAAAATCAATTCACTTGATTGAAAGGAGAGAGAGAGAGAGAGAGAGAGAGAGAGAGAGAGAGATTTGTAAATAAAAGTGAAATAAAGATATTTAATTGTTTGCAATTATCATTAACTACAGGTTCTTATACTAATAAAACCTTTATTATTATATACTGTAAGCAAACCCATAGCTTATATACACAGAAGATATTCATACAAATAGTGTTAATGATATTAATGCAAAAGATTTAACAGATTTCGTTCAAAATAAATGTTATTAAATTTACAGCAAATCTAATGAATGCAATATTTTATGCAAGAATTTTGTGGATAATCACTGAAAATGAATTGCATTTATCTTCACAATACATATAATATATAGCTGTTAATTGAATTTTGCTTTAACGGAAAGGTTACTGTAATTCAATTATTTATTAAATAAAATTAAATAAAATTGATTTAAAAATGCACTTGGATTAATGTGCATAATTGATTTTTACATATCACGCAACATGCATTTTTGCAACAATCAATTGAAATTTTGTGGCAATCGCATTTACTATGCAAATCAGTTGTGGTTGTAATGTATAATTATTAATCTAGATTCTAGATTTTTGCCCTAACATCACCATAATTTTCATTCAAGTTAAATTTTAATAATTTTTGTGTTTACAATATAAAATACAACATATCATAGACATAAACAGTATGTTTGAAATAAATATTCTGTGATATCACTGATATTAATATAATTATATTTCAAAATATGTGTCAAAATTTACAAAAATCAAATATACTGTACAAATAATTTATCTGTTGTTTAAAAATCACACTCTATTTGTTTGGCATGTTTTCAGCATATATTTTGTTGTTATTGTTTGAGAATTAACTGTCAGATTATATATTAATGCAAATTCAATAATAGAGTGAACATTTTGCATGAATTGGTGGCTTATTTGCCCGATATATACAAACCCTTATATTTACTGGTATTGAAAGCTCTGGGCTTACAATCGATTATTCATTTTTATTTTTGCAGTTCTTTTCGTTTTTATTATTTCTCTCTCTTTTGAATTCTTTTGATTTGAATGAATGAATGAAAACCTCTTTTTCTATTCGCCGTAAAAATCGACAAAATAATCGTTTGAATTTCTTTATATACATACTGTATATATGTTTATGTGATTGATATTTGTATTTATTTAGATACCCTCTCTCTCTCTCTCTCTCTTTCTCTCTCTCTCTCTCTCTCACACTCTCTCTCTCTCTCTCTCTCTCTCTCTCTCTCAACCATTCACTTGAGAAGTCTATTACTCTTAAATCAGTGGCAATACTGGAAGTCATGTTTTTATGCGTGAAAATACTAAATGGACTCACGTTCTCTCTCTCTCTCTCTCTCTCTCTCTCTACAGTCCTAACAAACTCCTTGTGTTGCTCTTTATCTAATATTGACGTCAATTCACATCTCTATGACAACAATGACCAAAATATTTAAGTAATTTGTGCTTATTTTCTCTCCCTTTTTCAATATCCCTATCTCTCTATCCCTGGTTTATAAACTCTCTTTCTCTCCCTCTCCCTCTCTCGCTCACAGTTTCCTATTTTCTCTACCGTTTTGCTCTTCAATTCAATCACTTGATATGTATTGCATATCTTATACAACAGTTATCTTATTTTTTGCACTATATTCTCAACGAATATTTATATGCACTTAAACTCATCTCTCTCTCTCTCTCTCTTCTTTCTATATTTTTTTCATTCACTATCAAATTCACTGGTAGTTTAGGTCATATCCATAACAAATATTAATATATTTTATTACTTGTGTCCACTTATTATAGTTATTATTCTTTAATTTGTAATAAGTTATTATATTGACCTAAAAATGATTGCATTTTTAACAAACGTTTCATTACAATCATATTCTATGTGAAAGGTTTTTAATAAAATTAAAATTAGATTTATTTTTAAGAGTAAAAAATTACTGCCTTTCATAATGTGTGTAATAAATTGTAATTACTGTAGTATAGAGAACGAGAGAGAGAGAGAGAGAGAGAGAGAGAGAGAGAGAGAGAGCATAAAATGCCTAATTCTCAAATTAAAATTTAAAATAATTTGCATAAAACAAAATCAATTTAATTTTGCGCCGGCTTTTCAGCGTTGGACTAATGTTTTGAGCATAAAATTCCTTAACTTTTCTACATTTGGGAGAATTTAATACTAAATACCAATAATAATAATAATCGGATCACAAGAATTTGCGTCAAACCTTATGTTAAACGTATAAAACAGTATTACAAACATTGCGCACAAAATGCTATTTTGAAATAACAAGTTTGTTATAATAATATAAAATCTATTTATTATATTTTGCAAATATTGTTTTTGTTAATTTTAAAAATATCTATGGATAATAACATTTGTGCAAAATTTAATCATACATTATAAAATTACATGCATTTTTGTAAATAAGTTGATAATTTGCAATAAAACAGTGTTTTATATTTTTTGCAATAAATCCCATAAATAACTAACAGAATCTGTAAGTTTAGATTCTCAGTGAACAACATTTTTGTAACAAAAAAAATACCAGAATATTTTCTACCATGTGTACAATACAATGCATACATGTGTGCGCTATTTGTGTTTCTTAATTAACAATTTGCGTGCATTCAAGCGTATCAGGCGATTGACTAATCTATCAAATTATATAATCTCAAGTCACACACACTCTCACTCACTCCCTCTCCTCCCCTTTCTCTCTCTCTCTCTCTCTCTCTCTCTCTCTTTCTTTTTCTTTCTCTCTCAATTGTAATAGTAGTGTACAAAACAAATTATAATTTTGTATATAAATAATTAATATTTAATAGATTTTACTTATCTTTCTGCTATCAATTTAAATATAATTTGTTATTTTTCTTCTAAATGTTAATTAAAATTAATTTTTGTGGATTTCTTTTGCACGACTTATTGTATATAAATAATTAATATTTAATAGATTTTACTTATCTTTCTGCTATCAATTTAAATATAATTTGTTATTTTTCTTCTAAATGTTAATTAAAATTAATTTTTGTGGATTTCTTTTGCACGACTTGTAGTATTCTATGTGTTGTAACGTTATTATAGTGAACACCCTTATAATGTATGCGGATTTATAGTTTATTGTGTACTATAATTAAGCCCTATAGAACAAATTATTGGTAATTTTTTGTGTTACTTAATTAATTGTTAATGCATAAAATAAATTAACACTTTCTTTAATAGTTTTAAATATAATATAAATTACAATAATTTTTTTGTAATGAATTGAATGCATAGGAAATATAATCTGCGCTTTAATTATTGAAGACAACAATAACAGCACAAACCGATAACAACGAGAATCGCCATAATATTGAAGATTAATTTATAGATAAATGAGTGGCCATAGGCTTCGGGACATACGGTGTCGTAATCGTAATAATAGTCAAAGACATAGGGCTTCAAAGTCGTGAACACGGATTTCTTGCAGCCGGAGCTGTAGAAGGAGTCGTCCAAACACTGCAAAAGTGGCCATAGGCTTCGGGACATACGGTGTCGTAATCGTAATAATAGTCAAAGACATAGGGCTTCAAAGTCGTGAACACGGATTTCTTGCAGCCGGAGCTGTAGAAGGAGTCGTCCAAACACTGGTTTATGACCGGTATCTCCTGTGTGAGCGGCTAGTAGACGAGAAGTCAGAACTTACAGAGAAACTGGCTATGCACGTCAAACACAGAGGGTAGGTTTGTCTGCGATTTCAACTGCCCATAACTGTATTGTCAGAACATGAAATATATTTTAGTTTACATTTCATTTCAAACAACATTTAGTTAAAACATTTTATGGCTTCACTATTGTTGAGCTCATACATAGGGTTAGGACTGATTGTCGCCTAAAATCAAAG